GATAGATAGATAGATAGATAGATAGATAGATAGATAGATAGATAGATAGATAGATAGATAGATAGATAGATAGATAGATTTGTACTTACTCATTATTCTTATTATTGACATTTACAAACTGTGATCAAAGAGTTGCTGTAGAATACTCACGTGATGTCATTTCACTTTGAGGAAGTTGAACTTTCACAGTTCCTCTCAGATGAATTCCTCTCTCGTGCTTTTATTCTTTTAAAACACACATCGCTCTCCTCTATAGGGGCGTGGCCACTGGATTTACCGTAAGTTGTGAGGGAAGGCGGCGGACTGACGTCACAGCGGATTTCGGCGCTGATTGGCGGAGAGTTTGGAGGGTACATATATAGACGCGCGGCCGGAGACGATCCGGTGAAGTGGACCAGACACCGGAGACAGAGACACACCGGAGATAGAGACACACCGGAGACAGAGACACACCGGAGACAGAGACACACCGGAGACANAGAGACACACCGGAGACAGAGACACACCGGAGACAGAGACACACCGGAGACACACCGAAGACACACCGAAGACACACCGGAGACCGAGACACACCGGAGATCGAGACACACCGGAGACCGAGACACACCGGAGACCAGAGACACACCGGAGATCGAGACACACCGGAGACCAGAGACACACCGGAGACATTAGAACTGATTAACGGTGGGACCGCTCTGTAGTTGGACTATTACCGGAACTCGAACCCTCTGTCTCGCGCAGCGGCTCCGTCTGAGATCGAGCTTTGTGTGTCGTCGCTTTCTTCCCGGTGTGAACGGAACCATGCTGCGGCTGCTGCTCCTCCTCGCGCTGTCCGCCTCCGTCTGCTCCGAGTCGGTAAGTGAACGGTCCCGCGACCGACTTTCTCCGGTTAGCGGCGCCGAGCTAGCCCCGAGCTAGCATCTTCTCGCGCAGCCTCGATCGAACTTCACTGAAACTGTGAGCCGGAAGTGGAACGTGTTCGTTAAAGTTTTAAAAGTTGCCTCAGTGTTGTTAGCTAACTAGCTCCGCAGCTAAAGTGGGGGGTGTAGGAGGGAGGGAGGGAGGAGGGGGGAGAGGGTCACTGCTGTTACCCAGCCTGAGGCCCAGGTTGGGGGGGGACACATCCGTGCTAACTGTTCCTGAGCTGTTCCTCTGTTTACTTCATCACTAACTCAGAGTCTGAACTAGAGAGGCTCAGTCCATCATCCACCTCCAAACCGGCTCCTTGTTCCATCACTTCCAGCCAACACCTGCTGACCCATCTGCATTCTTCTTCTTCTTCTTCTTCTTCTTCTTCTCAGACTTCCCTCTGCCAGTATAACACGTGTGACTCTGTCCAGAAGGTTGGGTTCATACCATCACTGGTAGTTAGACTGCGGGTGTCCACGTGGAGAGGTGTCACTGTTAGATTCTGAGTTGTTTCATGGCCACCACAGTTTCTCAGAGTGTGAGCTGATGTTTCGTGTTGTTGATTTATACAAGAAAGTGTTTAAAAGTTGGTGTCATCGCTTTCATACGATGTGTTCTGTGTCCTGATCAATGCAGCTGGTCAGAGATAATTATGTTAATTAAAATACACTCACACCATTTGACAGCTGCTTAATTAACAGTTTGGAAACCAGAGCTGGAAGATGTGTCCCTAAAGTCACATTTTTATCAGTCGATATCATAACTGACACGTTCAATGTCACGTTAATATTTCTATTAGTTTTGGTAATGATTAAAATAGTTTTATTTCCCAGTGGGGAAACTTCAGGAGAGAATTATTTCAGTTTATTGGCAGAAAATAACCTTTCAACAGTTTTTTATTGTGGAATCCTCTTTTTTTGGATCCACTGATACTTCTGTGGTTTAAAGTTGTGACTTCACTCTAAAAGAATGTGTGTGGAGAGCAGAGTCACTGAACTGGCTCAGGTCTTAAAACTTTATTTCATGAGGCATCTGGAGGTTTTTCCTCAGTGGAGTTTACTGACTTCTGAGAGTTTATGTGCCGTAATTGTTTTCAAGGGTGCGTCCTCGTGTTGGCTGTTCGGAGTTTTCTGTTCTCTCACACTGTTGTCCTGTAAGAGGCACTCGCACCTTTATTCTATTCCAAGCTCAGTTTCTTCATGAACTATATATGAAACCAGTGTTGTTTAAACACCAGAGGACGTCGTGCTTTGACCCTGCTCTGCAAACCAAAGACAACAACTGCCATGTGCTGTGGTTGTGTGTCTGTGTTTGCCCGTGTTTGGTGTCGGGGGCTGCCATGACGCAGTAAAGCTTCCAGTTTGTTGTAAAACATGACTGGAGTTAGTGGCTTCCTCTCACAGGCTAACAACTAGTTGAATCCAAATATTTTTGTGTAGTGGAGATGTGAAGTCCACCCGGATGCCACCCACACACAAACATTTACATCCGGCCCTCCCAGTCCGTCCAGTTGGTCAGTGCAGATGGTGTGAGAGCAGGAAGAGCTGACTCTACCGGTCGCTCCAGGTCTGAGCACACGCCTGACGAAGCCTGTGTCACAGTACGACGGTCAAAGATTCTCCGTGTCACATGCATGTCGGCTGTTACGTCCTGTGACACATCGTGGAGCCAGCAGTGCCTGGAACACTAATCCTGAACCGGAGGGGCTGAACTTCATCGGCATGTTGCAGTCGCCGGTGGTCGGATCCTGCTCGCCTTTACAATCTGTTACATTCCTGGACCGAGCGCAGCTTCTGCTTGCTCACTCTGCCTCATCTTGTTGCCCCACTCCCCCTCCCAGCTCGTCTTTTTTGATTTCCCCTCTGGAATGTGACCTCTGGTGACCTTGACCGGCCCTCTTTGGGATTTTGCACACTTGGAGGGATCTCAATAGGACCCTGGGGCCTTTTCATAAGGGACACTGCTTCCCTCTAGCCCAGTGTGGCAGTAGCGTGGATACACCTATAGCTTTCCCTCCCAGAATATGTGCTTCCTTTCCTCACCTTTCTTTGTCTGGCTCTTTAAAATGAGTTTTTACTCTGCACAGTTTGCCTTGTTGTGACTTTTTGTTTTTCAGCCTCTGTTCCTCCAGAGTCTCTCTGTGATCACTTGTCTTTTGTTCATCCTGTTTTCTGAACTTTTCTTTTGATGAATACTTAGCCTCTGAGCTATGACAATCCTCCCCTCCCTCCCTCCAGCCCTTTCTTCTCTCTACCCACTGAGGTCATTATTGGTATGTGGGTTTGACGTTCCCAGCTAATCGATAACAATGTTCCGCTACCTGACAAAAGAGAATGCTCTGAATACAGAGAAGCCTTTTTTTTTTTTTCAAATAGCCACATGCACGATAGGAACGTTTTTTTTATCAGAGTTGGCGAATTAATCTGCTGGATGCAAAGACACTTACATTTTATTAATTCTGGAAAAATATTGATTCATTTTGCAGCGTCTTTAACTATTTTGATTAATGTCTGATGTGCTGTGCTTTGGTCCGTTGAGCTTCGTGCACCATGTTATCAGTTTGTCCAACATGGAGCGGGTCAGACAAAACCTGTTGTTCACAACTTTTTCCACTGACCTCAGCAATTTCGGCTTAAAAGTTTGGCCTCTTGTGGAAACAGGTCACTGCGAGTCCTCTGTGACAAGGTATCAGGTGAGGGTGAAAGATAAGAAGCTCCTGTAACTGAATAAAAGGCACAGTGTCCGTAAAGTCCCCTCAAGCTGCGTTCAGTTCAATTAGCCCCATCACAGCACCATCATTTACCAAATATGCTCTGTAACAACTTTGGTGATTAATCAGAGTAAAAAAAAAAATCCCCTCTCAAGAGTTAATCCTTGTTGCAGCAACACACCGCAGCTCGTTGCCCTCTGGGCTGGGTCAATTTTTTATATCTTGTTGGAATGTCCCCGGTTTTGCATTTAGCCCCCGAATCATTTGCACGAGAATGGGCCAGTTTTTTTTCTGTCTCTGTTGCATGATGGGGTGCACTGAAAGCCCGTGTGTGGTGAAAAGAAAGGGACGCAGGGACGGAAAGAGGGAGCATGATAAATAGTATCACTAGGATGTAATAATGGTTCCTGCATTGCTGTCCGCTGGTCTATAAAATCCCTTTGGGCCGTGGAATGTTGGCACAGAGAGAGGAGGTTTTTGTCCTTCCTGCCTCTGATGGAGAGCGGTCGAGAATCTGATTCCCTCCCTCCCCCTTTCAACCACCACATATTCTGGCAGTTGTTCGCTCAGGGCAGAAGTAGACCATAAAACCCCTCCTTCACTGGTTAAATATCACTTTCATGCAGCGTTTCTGGACGTACTCTTTGTGCTGGATCCACTTTCTGGTTAAATACACACGGTGTCTGCAACTAAGTTTTGATTTCATTTTACTCAAAAGGCCATTGTTAGAACCTCAGTATTTTTCAGTTTTAATGTAATTGTAGCTTAAGCTGTCTGGAAAGTCTCCACTACAATTGTTCCAGATGTCTGAAGTGTAATTGAAGTTATTTTTCACATTTGTTTATCCAGATCCTGGTCGTCGATTACGATGAATTATTGTTGTACTCTGCAGGAGGAGCGAATTCATGTCCTGAATAATTATCATCCCTCCTGGTTTCTGTTTGTATTCGTGCCCCTCAGGCCGGTTTTAGTTGCATTCTAGTTTAGTTTAACAGCACGAAAAACAATGACTTTACATATAAAGTTTCCTTGAGACTTTGTGCTTGTTTCATCTGCAATCTGCAGCAAGACGTTTGATGGCCTCACCTCAGGTTCTGGACTAATCAGTCATGAAAACTGTTACCAATTGATGTAACTCAGTCATCGTTTCAGTTCCACAGGTGTGAATATAAACACACTACACAAACCAACAGCACGTACTTATTTACATCGACCGCCTGGGAAACGTCAGCTTCTTTGCCTCCACCTCCCCCATGCCTGAAAAAAAACGCTGCTGTGGCTTTGTGGTGAACGTAGATAAATATAGAGAGCCGTGGCAGAACGTGGAACATGATCCTCGCTGTGTTTCCATTGGGAAATGTATCACAGAGCCTGGAGGGAGGCCGTTTGATGTCGGTGCTGCTGCCTCTGCCGTCCCACGACACGCTGTCATCCTCTGACAGATGGTTGTTCCAGGCCTGAAGCCAGACCGCTATCAGCACTGATGCTCTCCGTCCCCGAGCAGGACAGATGTGCTGACTTTGTTAAAAAAAAAAAAAACAATGGCAGGGAGTGAGCATGAAATGTAATAATCAAAACTCTGCAGGATCTGTGCATCTCAGAAGATCGTCTGTGTATCAGCTCCTGAGGAAGTCCGGTCTGGCAGAGGCCACTTGTATTAGTTTTTGACTTCAGCCATTTATTTTTGAGTGACCACATTTATTCTCAATCAGATCAGAGCTGCGGTTTATTGTGGATATCTCTGCTGCTTTCCCACAGTGAAGCTCTGTGTTCAGTACAAGTCCTGCAGTGTCTCTGGAATCTGAAGTTCCCACAAACAAAACTAAATTACCCCAATTTCTGTCAGACTGCTCTTATGCCATATACAGTGTAAACACACACACACACACACACACACATACACATGATGCATGTGCATGAAGCCACTAGAGATCAGAGTGCTTTTGGGTGGTATGAGGGCTTCCCCTCATTCAGACATCCTTCCTGACAAATGTGCCTCGATAATACAGTACGTCTTTGATGTGGTGTGTGTGCGTCACTTCGTGTATCTCTGCAGTGTTGTGTGTGTGTGTGTGTGTGTGTGTGTGTGTGTGTGTGTGTGTGTGAGAGAGAGGTCTACTTCTCATCAGCCCACCAGTGGCTCGCTCAGCCACAGTCACTAAACCAATTGTCAGCGACCGAGGCCACCTTGTCCGTTTCAAATCCACATCATTCAGCTGAGATGAACGTGTGTGTG